ATTGATTAAATTTATTTTTAAGTTTTAACAATACAAGTCTAATAATTGATTTATTATTTTTAAAGATATAATTCGTTTAGCCAAGTATTCATGAATTTTTTTTTGTTGCTGAAAAAATCATTCTTTCTATATAATTATCATTCAAATTGCTATAAATCAAATAATCTTTACATAATTTTTTACTTGAAATATACTAATAAACATAAGTATAAATATTAAACATTAAATATTAGTTAAAACATTGAATGTATCAGAAGTTAACTCGTTCCCATGGCTTTCTGATGCACTCTGTAGATACATATTATGCAATTTTTCAATTGTTTATTTTATTTTTGTAGTAACACATCAATACCACTCGGTAGCTATCATTGCAATCACTTGACATATTAGATGATTCTTACTGTTTTTGTATGTCGTTACATAATCATCGTAAACGAAGTGCTAGTTGTGGACATTTTTTACAGCAGCTGATGCGTTGTACGGTATTTAGTGAGGGTATTGGTCGACTGCGGCATCGGCGATAGTATAAAGTTTTACACATTCAACAAAAACATTGTTGTCACTGTTGGTCGAGTGTGGCTGTGAAAGTGAACCAAGGAGTAGGAGGAATACAGGAAGAAGTGGAAAAATAGTTTTCAAACAACGCGACCATTGCTACCATTGTATATGTAACGCCCATACTATTTCATGTTCCACAAACGCATCCCCGTGGATTAAAATAACAAGCCGAAAACCCCTTGGTAATAACTGAAGTGTTTGAGCATTTGCCACTGCCAGGCCAAATTTACGATTGTAATCAAAAAGTCTTGCACATTTCCGTTTCATGAGATCCGGAAATGGTAGTACTGCAAACCAATGGCTACCCGACCGTTGTGGGCAAAACTTAAGAGCCACAGCTGAGACCATTCTCAAAGTATCAATGACAACGAAAGTACCTAGTATAACGTAATACGTTCATCCGAAAGGACGGCAAAAAGGTCTTACACATAATATATTTAAGGGTCAGTTTTCAAATGATTACAACGGTACCGATTGCTACTATTTTGGCTATTTTATATATTACTGTCACTTTAAACATTTCTTCAAAAAAAAAAAAAATTATGAAAACGTTGTGTCATATGAATTATTGCCATGAAAATGATCCCTTGATAAAATTATTTTTAATAATATTATAAAAAAAATGGGGTCACGGCATAGTTGGGTCCAGTATATGTTTGATTTGACAATGATTAAAATCACTATCATAAAAAAAGCTTTGATGCGAATCTGTAAATAGTGTTTAATTTAAAAAAAATAGTGGATTATTCCAAAAGAAACATCATCTCCTATTTCATTATTTATATTCTGATAACAAGTTTTATGATTTATAAATTTAATATGTTAATAATTATTTATTATAGCAATTAAATGTAATATGAAATTAATATTTAATAATTTAGTATTACAAAATACTAAACATTACAAATTTAAAAATCGCTACTTAAAAATGTACATAGAAAGGAAAATTTTTAACACTTAATTTTTGAAATGTTTTCAGAAATACTGACACTCTTATATAGACATCAAATTAAAGCTTATGTAATATACTTAAATTTGAAAAAGAAATTTTCGGATTTTATTATATTTTCACGGTGAAAATGGATATCAAAGTTAATAAAAAAACATGATTTTTGTAAAAAAATTACAATATTAAATTATTAAATATTAATTTCATGCTATATTTAATTGATATAATAAATATTTATTTATATAGTACACTTATAAATTATAAAATTTGTAATCGGGGTATAAATAATGAATAATTCATCATTTTTTTTATATTAAACACTATTTACAGATTCGCATCGAAGCGTTTTTTTTGATAGTGATTTTAATCATTCTCAAATTAAACATATACTAGACCCAATTATGCCGCGACCCCATTTTTTTTATAATATTATTAAAAATAATTTTATCAAAGGAACATTTTCATGGCAATAATTCTTATGACACGTTTTCGTAATTTTTTTTTTTTTGAAAAAATTTTAAATTTCATAATAAAATTAATATTTTTTGAGTTTGTCATCGAAGTTAACATTTCATTTTTCAAAATATTATAGCGTTATAATGTTAAAAATATAAAAAAGAATATTGTTACAAAAATCATTTATGATATCGTAAAATGAAATCGGTGAGAGATAAAATAAAAGGGCAACATTACACACACAAAAAAAACAGTAAAATTAATACTTTATAAGCTTCACATCGAAGCTAAAAAGTTGCAATAATATTAAAATCAAGTTCAATTTTTTGAAACTACATCTTTTTGTGATCAAGGTATCAATGTTCAAATCACTGTCTTATATAAAGACTTTATTAGCTTACATTCCTATATAAGGATGTATTCCTAATATCCCACTAGAATATTTGATATTCACATGATAAAAAAACATCGAAAATTTTTTAAAAAATATTTTTGGTGTTCAAAGACTAAAAATAATATCCCTTTCAAAAAAATTGTTTTGTAATGATGCAATTGAAAAATTTTAAGTCAAAAACAAATTCTATATAATTACCTAAATTAATTAAGTTGATCGTCTTTTATAACAAAATAATTTTCCACGAGTAACTGTTGTTGGTTTGTTTTCATCTTTAGTCATGATACGTTTAAATTCTTTTATACCCACACGAGATGGTAAATTTTGTGTTAATCGTTCATACCCAGTATTCAATTTCCATGCTATTTCAAGTTCTTCTGCATCTTCAAAATTCTCTGGTGTCGGTTTATAACAACAACATGTGATAAATTGGATATTAACAACTACCCCATAGAATATTATCAGCGCGCAAAATTGATGAAAAATCATTATTATAATCTGAATTACTTACTATTGGTATGAATTCTTAAGAAAAACACTATTTTAAAAATACGCATTTAATAAATTTTAGATATTTTAGTGTATGTTTTCATTTATATCAATATATTCATAAATAATTTTATTAAATTCATAATTTTATTTCCAAAAATAATTTGTTAATATAATTTAAAAGTGATTAATTATGTGTAAAATTTATATACCGTCATTTTTATAAGAATAGACATAAAATGTACATTACAATAAGAATCGTGTTATAGTATCACTATCAAAAAAAAACGCTTCGATGCAAGTCTTTAGATAGTGTTTAATTTTAAAAATTGGTGGATTATTCCAAAAGCTATATGATCAGCTAGTTCCTTATTAATATCCTGATTAAGATAAAGTATGTCAAATGAAAAAGGAATTATTAAATAATAGTATTTCTCATAAAAAATTATGTTGGTCCATACACTATTCAAGAAAAATAATAATGACATCATCTGTATAGACATAATAGATACAAGTACTTTGTTTCTAGTTATTACTTTATTAGTATAGTTAGTGTATTAAAACTACTCTTACCTGATATTCACTGATGATGATTAAATTTTGAGTTTAGATTTATGGTTGTTAAAAATATATTTAAAACTATAGTAAGTGTGTTAATAAATGAGAATCGAACTTGGTTAGCACAAGCGTATTTATTATTATAGAAAGTGTTAATTATTTTGACAAATGTATATTTTAAATTTAGCGTAAAAAGTTAAATCTAAAAACAAACAGCAGAAAAGAATACGCACAAGTATGTTTGAAATTATATTTTGAATTGATTAATTTTACATTGTAGTGAGAGAATTGAACGAGAAAAATGAAAGATTGACTGACTGACTAAAGCAGTCTCCAGCCCTTATATAACATACCACGATAAATATAAACAGGGATGAAACGTCTGATTGAGTCATGCTTTACAATCAAAACAAGACAGTTACTTTTTATCACCTTCCCTTATTTAATGATTTTTGTGGTGCCTAGAAGACGCAGAGACAGACAATGACTCGTGGCTACTTCTTAGTTGCCAAAAGTCAATACCATAAGTATAATCGTGTTAGCATATTCTTTTCCGTGGTCTTAGAAATAAAAGAGGTATTGATTTTATTAATATTTCAAAGGAGAATATTACAATGCATTCAATAACATCTCTCCATCTCTTTTTTGGTCTTCCTCTTTTTCCATCAATATTAATTTCTAAAACTGTTCTTACGGCTTCCGATTCTTCTCTTCTGGTATTAAGATCAAACCATCTAACTCTATTTTCTCTTATATTATCCACGATTGACGCTATGCCTATACTCCCTCTTATATTCTTGTTTCTTATCCTATGTTCTCTAACTACTCCACTCATCCATCTAAGTATTCTCATCTCTGCTATAATCATTTTCTGCTCTACTTTCTAATCAATTATCCAACACTCTGAACCATACATCATAGCTGGTCTCACTATTTTATATTATAAATTATAGGCTAAACCTCATATCAGACAATATAATTTTACTCAATTTAATATCAAATGATTCATTATTATTATTTTTGAATACGAAGTCAAATGTAAATTATAAAATCGAGAATATTTCACACAAAAATAGCATTCGGTAACCATTTTCACCATGAAGACAAGTCTAGGGGTCAAATTTTTTTTTTTTAAATAAAGTATATTACATTAGCTTTAATTTAAGATATATATAAATGTGTCAGACATTCCGGAACATTTTCAAAAATTAATTTTTTGTGAAAAAGTTGTCATTTTAAATCCCCCCCTGTGGGCAGATAAAGAGTCAGATTTACAAAAAAAAAAAAAATACCAAATGATAAGTAAAGACATCAAGCATCTATAAAAAAAATTATATTAATATGTTCATTTTTAAAAAAGTTACGGCAGTTTTTAGTAAAAAAAATTGAAAAAATTTCGTCAAAAAATAATGTCAAAATTAATCAATTTTAAGCAGTTTAAATAAAGTATTTTTTATATGGATATTTTGAGTATGGGTCTTATTTACAAATTCTAATTTTTTATGTAATTTAAATATTTGAAGTTCAGTGGATGATACATTAACAATTTAATTGTCATAATTTCAGACTTTTATTGTTAAAAAAAAGATACACATGTATGGTTGAATATAGTTTATTTTATTATTTGAAACTCAATATTCAATTTTTATAAGTATTAAAAAAATAGAAAACATAATTAATTTTTCATATTTAAAATACATATTAATAGTTAATATATGTTGTTTCTTTTTTCCGATCCCTTGGGGGCTCAACAAATATGTATATTGAAGAATACTCAATGAATGATCGAACAATTTTAATGTCGATATTCATATAGATATTATTTAAATAATCTAGATAATTTTTAAACTTGTCGAAGTTATTTTTCAATTTATCTTCTAATGATTTTTTAATTTCGTCATCTTCTTTGAACATATTAAATTTCTCACCAAAATAATTTCTTTTAATATGTTCATTAATTAAATTTATATTTCCACTATTTATAACATCATAGGATCTAGAATTACTTGGTTTGTGAGAGAATGTTCTTATAATGTTGTCGATGCTCTGTTGTTTATCTTCAAACTTGAATATATTATTTAATGTATGATTATTTAACAATAATTGGTGCATTTTGGAATTATTATTCTTAATAATATCGTTATCTGTATTGAACATTAAATACGACAGATGTTTCCTTATAAAATACAAAGCTACGATTCTAAAAATGCCAAAAACTTTATCTTGATAATCTCCTAATTTTATAATCCATAAATCAAACCAATGATAATTTCTTGCATCTCTATATGCAGTATTAATATCTTCCATGATAACGTTATAAACTTTCTGACTCTGTTCTCCATAATCCAATATTATTGTTTTCAAAATATCATTATTTTGGATAACTTTATTAAAATAAATTTTACTAAGTGAAATATGATTTTCTACCTCTATATCACTCAGGAAAAAGTAATTATTATGATTTCTTTTGTTCATAACATTCACAACTTTTTTTATTTCTTCATTTTTGTACGTGTCATTTGCATTTATTTTTATTTCGTTTGTAATATTTATGTCACAATTTTTTTTTGCATGTGATTTTAAAATTTCTATTATAACTCGTATAAGATCCTTAAAATGTATGACCAAGTCACCTTCTAAATAATACCTTCGGTCTCTTATATAAATAGCATACATAAACATAGCCCATAAAGGATCTAAAGGTGCATCTAGGTCTGTTTTTAGCATTAGGGATAGCATGTGTTTAATAATTGATTCATCTAAAAGTACACTATTATTTTCTTTTAATATTTGAATTCTTTCTAATGAACCAATAAGGCTCATATATTGTAAAAGGTCCCTTAAGTTACTGCAATAAAGGTTGTAGTAGATAATTTGTGGCCTATTGTGTAGTTTAAATGTTGTTGGTTTGTTTTCATCTGTAGTCATGATACGTTTAAATTCTTTTATACCCACACGAGATGGTAAATTTTGTGTTAATCGTTCATACCCAGTATCCAATTTCCATGCTAATTCAAGTTCTTCTGCATCTTCAAAATTCTCTGGTGTCGGTTTATAACAACAACATGTGATAAATTGGATATTAACAAATATCCCAAAGAATATTGTCAGCACGCAAAATTGATGAAAAATCATTATTATAATCCGAATTACTTACTGTTGGTATGACTTCTTAAGAAAAACACTTTTTTTAAAACTACACATTTAATAAATATTAGATATTTTAGTATATTTTATCATTTATATAGATATATTCATAAATACATTTATTCGATTAACAATTTTGTTTTCAAAAATAGTGAGTCAATATAATTTAAAAGTGATTTATTACGTATAAAATTAATTTACTGTCATTTTTATAATAGTAGACATTAAATGTAAATTAAAATAAGAATCACGTCATAGTATCTAATAGTCTAAATAATAAAGTTATACATTTTACTGAACCATTATTCAAGGGATAATATGAATTTGTGAAATCAATTTTTATATGACTTTATCTTTTCATGTGTTTACAATTTTTTACTTAAGTTCATATCGTATAATTTCATTGAAACCTAAAAAAGAATTTCGAAAAAAATGTAAAAATTATAATAATAATTGTACTTATTTTATATTGGTATTTGCTTATTTACAACTGTGAACTGTACATAAGTAGAAAAATTTCTACTTTCAATGTGCATTTATTCGATTTAAGTAAAGACATCAAACATCTATAAAAAAAATTATATTGATATNGAATGATTCGTTATTATTATTTTTGAATACTAAGTCAAAAATTCTGTTTAAATTAATAATGTGAAAATCAATCAATTTTAAGCAGTTTAAACACAATATTTTTTAAATGGATATTTTGAGTATGGGTCTTATTTACAAATCCTTATTTTTTTTTATAATTTAAATATTTGAAGTTCAGTGGGTGATAAATTAACAATTTAATTGTCAAAGTTTCAGACTTTTATTGTTAAAAAAAGATACACATGTATGGTTGAATATAGTTTATTTTATTATTTAAAACTCAATATTCAATTTAGATTTTTATGTGTTTTAAAAAAATAGAAAACATAATTAATTTTTCATATTTAAAATACATATTAATAGTTCATATATGTTCTTTCTGTTTTCCGATCATCTGGGGGCTTAACATACCTGTATATTGAAGAATACTCAATGAATGATCGAACAATTTTAATGTCGATATTCATATAGATATAATTTAAATAATCTAGATAGTTTTTAAACTTTTCGAAGTTATTTTTCAATTTATAATCTAATGATTTTTTAATTTCGTCATCTTCTTTGAACGTATTAAATGACTCACCAAAATAATTTCTTTTAATATGTTCATCAATTGAATTTATATTTTCACTATTTATAAGATCATAGGATCTACTATAACTTGGTTTTTGAGAGAATTTTCGTATAATGCAATCGATTTCAAATTGTTGTTTATTTTTAAATTTGAATATATTATTTAATGTATGATTATTTAACAATAATTGGTGCATTTCGTANTGATTATTTAACAATAATTGGTGCATTTCGTAATTATTATTCTTAATAATATCGTTATCTGTATTGAACATTAAATACGACAGATGTTTCCTTATAAAATACAAAGGTAAGATTCTAAAAATGTCAAAAACTTTTTTTTGATAATCTCCTATTTTTGAAATCCATAAATCAAACCAATGATAATTCCTTGCAGCTGTATATGCAGTATTAATATCTTCCATGATATAGTAATAAACTTTCTGACTCTGTTCTCCATAATCCAATATTATTTTTTTCAAAATATCTTTATTTTGGATAACTTTGTGCAAATAAATTTTACTGAGTGAAATCCAATTATTTACCTCTATATCACTCAGAAAAAAGGAATTATTATGATTTCTTATGTTCATAACATTTTTTATTTCGTCAATTTTATGTGTGTCACTTGGATTTATTTTTATTTCGTTTGTAATATTTATGTCACAATCGTTTTTTGCATGTGATTTTAAAATTTCTATTATAACTCGTATAAGATCCTTAAAATGTATGACCAAGTTACCTTTTAAAAAATCCCTTTGTTCTTTTATGTAAATTGCATACATAAACATAGCCCATAAAGGATCTAAAGGTGCATCTAGGTCTGTCTTTAGCATTAGGGCTAGCATGTGTTGAATAATTGATTCGTCTAAAAGTACACTAGCATTTTCTTTTAATATTTGAATTCTTTCAAATGAACCAATAAGGCTCATATATTGTAATAGGTCCCTTAAGTTACTGCAATAAAGGTTGTAGTAGATAATTTGTGGCCTATTGTGTAGTGTAAATGTTGTTGGTTTGTTTTCATCTTTAGTCATGATACGTTTAAATTCTTTTATACCCACACGAGTTGGTAAATTTTGTGTTAATCGTTCATACCCAGTATCCAATTTCCATGCTATTTCAAGTTCTTCTGCATCTTCAAAATTCTCTGGTGTCGGTTTATAACAACAACATGTGATAAATTGGATATTAACAAATACCCCAAAGAATATTATCAGCGCGCAAAATTGATGAAAAATCATTATTATAATCTGAATTACTTACTATTGGTATGACTTCTTAAGAAAAAAAACTTTTTTTAAAACTACACATTTAATAAATATTAGATATTTTAGTATATGTTTTCATTTATATAGATATATACATGAACACATTTATCACATTTACAATTTTGTTTTCAAAAATAGTGTGTCAATACAATTTAAAAGTGATTTGTTACGTATAAAATTTATTTACCGTCATTTTTATAAGAATAGACATAAATTGTAAATTAAATTAAGAAACATGTTATAGTATCTAATAGTCTAAATAATAAAGCTATACATTTTACTGTATCATTATTGAGGGAATTTTAACGAATTTTCTGCGATATCTTTAAGAGTTATTATATTTACATTATTTATTAATTTGTCAAACCAATAAATTAAATTGATCAAACCATCCAAGTCTATTTTTTCTCATCTTATCTTATCCATGATTGACGCTATGCCTATACTCCCTCTTATATTCTCGTTTCTTATCCTATGTTCTTTAACTACTCCACTCATCCATCTAAGTATTCTCATCTCTGCTATAATCATTTTCTGCTCTACTTTCTAATCAATTATCCAACACTCTGAACCATACATCATAGCTGGTCTCACTATTTTATATTATAAATTATAGGCTAAACCTCATATCAGATAATATAATTTTACTCAATTTAATATCAAATGATTCNTTAAACCTCATATCAGATAATATAATTTTACTCAATTTAATATCAAATGATTCATTATTACTATTTTTGAATACTAAGTCAAAAATTCTGTTCAAATTAATATTGTGAAAATTAATCAATTTTAAGCAGTTTAAACACAGTATTTTTTGTATGGATATTTGGAGTATGTGTCTTATTTACAAATCCTTATTTTTTTAAATAATTCAAATATTTGAAGTTCAATGGATGAAAAATTAACAATTTAACTGTCAAATTTACAGGCTTTTATTGTTAAAAAAAAGATACACATGTATGGTTGAATATGGATTATTTTATTATTTGAAACTAAGATTCAATTTGGATTTTTATGAGTTTTAAAAAAATAGAAAACATAATTAATTTTTCATATTTAATTTACATATTAAAATTCAAAATATTTTTTTTCTTTTTTCCAATTCCTTGAGGGCTCAACATACCTGTATATTGAAGAATACTCAAAGAACGACCGAACAGTTTTGATGTCGATATTCATATAGATACAATTTAAATAATCTAGATAATTTTTAAACTTGTCGAAGTTATTTTTCAATTTATCTTCTAATGATTTTTTAATTTCGTCATC